GTACTAGATAGAAGGCCAAGGGTTTAATTTATAAGTAATATTTTTAACTTCCTTCATCGTTAGTCATTCTTGGGTATTTCCAATCTTTTTCTCAGGATTTGCATGGATGTGGCTGTATGGATGGATTGGTATGTCAGGAGACCACAGATATCACAATTTTCCCTCCCTTTAAGTTTCCTCTTGAGCAGTGTGTTAAGATGTAAGCAAGGATATTTACCTAACACAGGAAATGTAGCACCGTAGACATAAAGTGCTGTAGCAGCTCGAGCAAGTGAAAGAAAACTAAATCGGTACTTTGCTGTGTTTCTCTCTACTTCACGTCTCTCACACCTAGGCTGACTTGTCCTAAGATTTCCCGAAGGAAGCCTGGGCATACCTGCCCTTCCGTCGTACTTCGTTACGTACAACTGATTTATCCCCAACTCTCTCGCACTTTTTGAGGAAACCATTTTTTTCATGCCATCGTAAGAATATTTGTCCCCATTTTCACCGTTCCTTGAAATGTTCATTCCTTCTTGCGGCTAAAATTTATAATTCTTTTTTTTTCATTTATGCGCCAATATTCAATTTTCAATCACCTTGCGCGCCATCCTTTCATTACGCAGAAAGCCTTTCGCTTTCTTGGGTGGGTATTTCAATTCACCGATCTGAAGAATTTCTGAACCGAAGAAAAGTTATTTGACTTGATACATACTTTGAGGTTTTGTCCATTGTTTAATTAGTATCTTCATACACTAATTACATCTCAATGTATATTCGGTAGAGCTTCAATTACCTGTTTTGACCTTTAGTAATCTAAATAATAAATCCTTCTAGTTCCATTTGTACGGAACATACTTAAACTGTTACCTAAGTTTGGTGACTTCTGGCTAAAGCGAGTTTCTGTGAGTTTCTGTGTGTGTATTTATACAGGCGTGTTACTTATAACACTAACATGACGCTAAAGCTAGCGCAAGTAGTATTCTCCTTGTTTCTAGTAGTTCTAAGTTAAACTTAAAATGTAAATGACAATTTAGGGCTTCTATTGCGCAAATTAACGTATGAATATTATCAAATTCGCATTCTATAATAATCCAAGTGCCTAGAAACAAAAATATGTAAGCTAAACCGTTTTGAAATTTTATAAATTTCTCCTTGGATCTAATAAGATCTAATGTTGAAAAGATTCTAAAATTAAATTATAACTGTTGAGGAAATAACTTGGTTAAAATTTGTAATAATATCTATTTGGATCTATGTAAAAATTAGTTTAAAAAGCGGTGTAAATGATACCGTAAAAATAAAAATAAAAAAAGTTGTTGCTAAATATTGTCACAGATAGGTAGGAGCGAGTTTTTATTCTTCACTCAGTCAGACCAAGTAGAGGCAAGCACCTGAAAAAAAAGGGGTACACCAATTTTGTTTGGTAATGAAAAACAAAAATGCGAATGATACAACGTTACCTTCCGCCGTCTTTCCGCCAACTGAGAGTACAAAGCAGGTTCACCAATATGAGGGCCGATTAGTATAGGTAATCGCATGAAGCCGAGTAAAATTAAGGATTAATATCACGCGTGTTTTCGGAAGTTGCTGAAATTGCCCGCGTCGCGCAGCGACTCGGGCAATTTCTGCTACTTCCGAAAACACGCGTAGTTTTCTATGATGTTTTACTTACTTCTCAATCTTCTCATCTAGCCACTTCTTATGTAGCCAAGACTCTGGAAGTTTACTGGCACCCAGTCTGCAGCTTAACAGCGCTCCGGCTACTGCGCCATTTGTGTCAGCGTCCCCGGCCTGAGAAGAAATGTAGGTTCGCAAGTTAGTGCGTGCGAAAAAAGAAATTTCAGAACATTGTTGAAACAGATGTGGCTTAAAACTTGACCTTTGAAATTTTCTTTAATCGCAAAATTTTTCCAACAACCTCATAAAGCAAACTGACTTCTAATGGTGCACCGATAGTCCTACATAATGGGCCTTGCCTGCAGATTTAAAATTCTTGTAATATGAGTAGCGCATCAAAATTGTGGAAGATTTTGTTCCCAGAGAAACGAATTTTGCAAAGGTAAGACGATGCTTCATATTCATATTCCCTCGGCAATTCAGACAAAGACTCCGTAGAAACTACAATTCAATTGGACTCTTCAAAATGATGGTTTATACAAGAAAAATTCAAAACGATAATGTGTTTTGCCAAATATCAGACTTACCTCATATGCCACTGCTTCTATAGCGGCACGAAAATCATTTTGCCTCAACGACCAAATTCCAGCGCCTAAACATTTGTACGTGTAACCTATTTTGTCGTGTTGGCCAAGCTGTAGATCTCTTCCAATGACTTA